TTCAAACTCAGTCCAACAGAAGCCAACGCCATGTGGGCCGACCACCTGTGGGGAAAGAAGTCCAGCCAGCCTTGAGAGTCTGGTTTCCGCCATAAGACTCTGGCTCAGAAAATATTAGAGAAAAGGGTTGTGTGTCCACTCTAGATATTGGATGTGCACACACTCATTTACATGTTATAATGTGTTTCTGTCAGTCTCAAACATATGCAAAACAGCCTGGGGTGGGGGTTACTAGTGCTATTATTGATCATTTAGCTCATCGTTGCTTTGAAAAAGACAAAGGTGACAGAGGACACATATTTGCTGTGTGCTGGAGTGAAACTGTTAAGAATAATGAATATTGGAGTGTAGCTGAATTTGTTTTCCACTTTTCAAAGGTTTTTTATTGTTTTTTCCTGCCCTGTTGCTTATTTGATGGCGGTTCTTCTTGGCTTGAGTGAACCAACTACCGCTGAACACCTGCTTGTGTTTTCCTGCCTTTTTGAAGGTCAGGTTGCAAGACTGTCTATGTTGATCAAATATACAAAAACGAATGCGTTGACATTCCACAAGCAATAGGAACAATTAGGTTTGACACAGTCAAGGTCAAAATCTATACATGATTATCAATGGAGATTGTTTTAGCAGAAGCTCTATCTACACCTACAAAACAAGTTCCATGCATGCCCACCCCTGTTTGATTGGTTATGCTCTTTGATGCACACATTTTTGCAGCATGCACACAGCGTGCTCACGCTCACATAATCACATCAAGTGGCAGAGATAGAGGTTTGATGGAGGAGGTCAGTCAGCCTCAGAGCCGACAAACAACACCTCATTAGGCGTGTTGAAGGGAGTCTTACAGGCCAGCCGAGGCATTGTTGTCTGCTACCAAGTTAACAGAGCCCTAGGCAAAGCTTCTAACATCTAAACAATCCTGACAGGACTGGAAAGTAATGATCACATGGTATTCACTAGGAAGGACACAAATAATAAAGTACAGCGGATTGGGGGTAATGCATCTTCATGAAGTGTCCCGATGGAAGCAGACAAGGAAACATTTACGCGGTGATCCAGTGATGTGTAGCTATGGGCCTTTGCACGCATGGATACACGTGGCTACCCATTCATAATTTTATAGGTTACTCATTACAGGATGATACTGGCCTGCACACTATACAGGCTCCTGCTCTGAACTACAGTGACAATCAGCGAAGGCTCAGAGAGCCACATCTATGTAGTGTTTTGATTATGGCTTTAGTCAGTCAATTTTCTTTCCATCACGCGCAATTTTAGTCACTCTTGCACTTTCTGTATTTATCTTTAATTCTCTCATTCTACCGCTCCTCTTTTCTCTCTCTCCATATTAGACCACCCTCTTTTCCCCTGGGCTTGATGTTAATGCACTCCCAATCAGGCTGTCCATTAAGTGGACGTGTACAACACGCAGGCCTGCATGCTAATGAGCACAAACTGCAGTGCGCGGCAAACTCCTTGAAGTCTCCTAAGAGGTGGAATGTAAGTGTGTGTGTGTGTGTGTGCGTGTGTTTGTGTGTGTGTGTGTGTGTGTGTGTGTGTGTGTGTGTGTGTGTGTGTGTGTGTGTGTGTGTGTGTGTGTGTGTGTGTGTGTGTGTGTGTGGGTGTGTGTGGGTGTGTGTGTGTGAGGCATGCATCTGTGAGAAATGTAAAAAGAAAGAGAGAGCATCAGGTTGTTCGTTTAATGCTGATGAAAACCACGGAGACGAGCAGAACAAAGGACTAACCCAATCACAACGCCTTTTTGATGTTTTGATGTAACGCTGAGACACTCAAAAGGGAAACTTACAGACATAAATTCTCTCCGTGAAGCGTAGGCCTTCGGGGAGTGTTCTGCTCCTGTCAGCCAAACACTTTGTCATGAGCAGCAAAACTTCGCCGCTCTGAAATCAAACTAAACTTTTGCTACAAGTGAGCCGCACAACACACAAATAGACAATTTTGCTCGCTCTGCTCCCTTCTGACCGCGAGGCTTTTGGCGCTTTTCCGTGTTTGTTATTGTATTCAGTGAGACACGTTCATTTTCACCTCCTGCCTTTGCTGTGTTTAAGTTTAAAATGTGAGTTGGAGTGTGGGTAAAAAGAACGAGACATATCAGTGGAACAGTGCAAGATGTTTTTTTATGGTATTTATGGTAAAAAGCGAAGAAAAAGCTTCAGACAGAAAGCTATGCTGGTCTACAGGTCTGCCTTTCTGTACTCAGGAGACACTGAGCTCAGCGTTAAACGTACGGAGCAGGAAGGAGGTGTCAGCAAGGCCTGCAGCATGCCAACTCTTAAGTGACTGTGGCACTCAAAGATAATGACGAACGATGATGAGGCCAGGAGGTGCATGTGCAGGGCCCACATGCTAAACTAAAATCACCAACAGCCAACTATAAGAAGATTCGAGCTTTGCCAACGACACTGATCGTGTGTCAAAGTGTCAAATCTCTGGCTCAGATCTCTGTTTTCAGAGCTCCGGCACAGGTCCTCTGAACCTGAGTGATGCCACACCTGGTGTGTGACGGAAATGCTGTCCTGCACAAGAGCAGTGGTGGTGAATCCATTAAAAGAAAAACAAGTAACTGAAATAATGTACGCTCACATTCCTCAACTGTGACCTCAAAACACACTTCTCATCTATTGTTCACAGTTCTGAGCCGCTCCCTGTGATATGCTCACTGATCCCATTAAACTAATCCACATGAAAACAACTTAGGGCATGATGATAGCAGCCCGCACCGCCTCCCTTGTTAATTTATGCCGTATTTAAATGTGCACTGAACTCAAATAATTTATGTGACTCCATAACTCCTTTTCCTCATGGCAGATATTCTGAGTGAATACCTACAGGATGTTTGGTTTCACCCTGTCCCTGCATATGTCCCTAGGTGTGTCTCACGCAGGAATGTAAAGTCATCCTCATTATGTCCATTTGAACTGAGATTGAGCGGGTTGATCCAAAACAGACAAACCTAACAATAACAAACTTAAGCCGGGTGTACACTGTGCAACTTTTTCACTCGTAGCACTCAGCTTCAGCTCAAACTGTACGACTTCCTTGCAGAGCAGATCTCATGAGCCAGGCGCTCACACTGTACGACCCAGTTCTCGGATGCGACCTGACTGCTCACACTGTACGTCTGGTAGCAACACGTCGGACCTAAAAATATGCTAAAAATAGCCGTTTTTACTCAACACGTTAGACTTTTTTTGTCTTGTTTTGCCTGTTGTCCTTCGGGAGTGCTGCAGGAGGACACACAGGGATTTATGTATAAATCTGTGTTTTGTGATCAGTTTAATTTGACATGAACACGACAAACACGCTTTCTTGACAATCTTTGTGAGTAAAAAACGTGTAGAAACAAAAACGAACAACGTGTGTTATTAGGGAAACAGCGAGCGAGCGGCATTGATGCAGGATTGCGCATGCGCCTTGAGCGGTTCTGATACATTTTGGGTCGCAGCTGCTCGCAGCGCCGCTTCAACAGTGCGATACCCTCATGAGGGACGAGCGAAATATTAAACACGCCAGAAGTCCGTGTGACCTCACGACTGCTGATCGGCGGCTGGTCACGTGGTGTTAATCGCCTCTCGTAACCCCCTGTACACTACACGACCGCTCGGCGCAAAACTCGCCCCGATGTCGTGGACTCTCGCACGAGTGGAAAATCGGCTCAAAAAAGTGAAAAAGTCGCACAGTGTACGCCCGGCTTTACTTAGCACTAGAACTCCCAAGGCAGTCATTTTGACTGTTTTCATAACTTTAGTTAGATGGATCTCATGTTGTCCTCGCTTCCTGGCTTTTCCTATTTTTGAGTGTCCTTTGTTTTTGCTTTATAATTTCCATAAAACAATGTCTCAAACAAGATAGCTGTTTTTGTCTTTGTCTCCCACAAGCCGCCAATTTGACGACTCTATTCTTTACATGGTAACGTTTCCCGTGGGTAACGGACAGCGTTGCTAAGCAACCAACTTTGCGCGCTCCCTCTCCGTTCATACCGTGCGTGAAATAGTGGCTGAAGCAGCTTTTAGAAGAACATTCTCAGTGAAACAAGCATGAGAAATGAGTCTGCTTCAGGTGGAGAGGGGAAACTGATGAAAACTGGTCAGTAGGAAGCGGCAGAGACCCTGACAGCAATGCGGAAGACGATCTGGGACCCCTCGCACCCACCCAAGGAGAAGATCCGTGTTGGACACCCAGCGAACAATATAGAGACTTATTTTCAAGATTTGGATTAAAATTATATTTTCTTACTATTTTATTAGGTTCACACATCCATAAAGAGTTCATTAATAACCCACCTGAACTATTTTGCTTCACAACGTCAACGTCAGCCTGCATTTAATGGCCAAAATAGCAGCTGCCAAACTGACGGTTCCTGGAAGTTCTAGTGAAATTAGAATTCTGGGAGTTCTGGTGTAAAACATGAGATGGGAAAAGCATGTGTGGACTGTTAGTGCATCACTTGCTTGTCAGAATTTCCCTTTTTTGGTTTATTGCTGAAGTTTGTGTGAAGAAGCTTGCCTCCTGCTCTTGCAGCTAGACAATAAAACAGCTGCTCTTCAAATTAGAAACAATTCTGTTTCTGAGTCGATTTTTAACATCTCCAAATGTCTTTTATTCCCTAAGCAAGAACCCCCCCCCCCCCCCCCCCACCCCCACCCCTCCTTTAGCGCTCACATGGACTCTAAGCAATGACTGCTGGTTAACAAATGCTGAGCGAATGTGGATAGAAGACCTGTGCACATGGGATTATGAATAAAACATGTTGCCCTTATTAAAAATAATCTGGCTCTAAAGTGCCAAAGGCCCTTGAGGTCGATACCCCCCCCCATAGGGTTCAGGGAAACGGCTGCCTGATTAGCACCGGCAACATCCAGAGAATGTATTCAAAGGCTGTATGATCCACTGGTGAGCGTGTTGAGAGGAATTAGATAATGCAGGCAGTGAATGGTGCTCAGGTTTAAGTGGGGTGGGGCTGAGATCTCTGTTGTTCCTACCTGAACATCTCTCCCAAGCCCTTCAGCACACCCTTCTTAGGCTTGATCTTGTCCTTGTCCATTTTCTTGGATTCCCTCAGCCCACCTTTGGCTGCTTCTTGCTGGTTGTCCTCTACAGAGAAGCTGCCGTTAAATCCGCCGCCCACACTCAGATCGCCGCTGGTGGACATGGACTCACGTCCTGATCGGGAGCTGCCCTCTGTGTCCTCGTCCACTGGATTACAGACATAAGTGAGATGATACGTTAGAGAAGCACGAAAGCAAAAGATTGAATTCACTTTAAAACAACACATTATAGAAAAATAACTCCAGATAAAGTTCATAAACTTGAACTGAGAGTGAAATCCCAGTAGACCGGAAAGAGCAAACACCACTTTTCTTTTATCAAGTGCACAGCATTGCTTCTTTCCTTCAGCAACATGAGAGGAGCCGTAAAAAGCTGTGTCCCACAAGAAATACAAAACACACTGAATTAATTTGCCTCATTAGAGCAGAATATATTTACATTGCACACCTACTGAGAATAGGAGTTCACTTGAACAAATGTTCACTTAGCTGAAAGCCTGAAGTTATTTCTGTTGTGTGCATTTCACATGGATCACGTCAGAGCTCCCTCCTTTTCTGCTGCTTTTATATGTGATTTTAAAGACTGGGTCTAAGAAGAAGCATTAGTGATGGTCACAAATCTCCTTGTTAATTAAGTCTGAACTCATTTCAAACCCGACATCAAACCGAAACCAAACTCCTTAGGTGATGCAAGGTTGATTAAACGCAAAGTTTCCATCACATCTAATCAGAACCAATGTGCAAAATGTAATTAATCTGTCACTAATTATACATTTTAATAATCTTGAAAAAGGCTTCTGGGATCATAATTACAAATATGCTGCATGCTACAGCGCCTCACTAACACTATCTTTGGCTCGGAGGTATGGAGAAGATGTCCTTCAGATTGCAACTCTTTAAAGTGTTGCACGTTGTTTGACTTGAGTCTTTGATGGAGGAGAGACGCACGCCTATCGCCCAAAAACAGGAAAAGGAAGGAAGGGAAATCTAGACGTATGCTTAAAAAAAAAACCTGCATTTTTCAAGGAGGCTCGGTTCATGTTTTATGTGATCTGAGGAGAATTTGAGGATTGTTTAAGCCGTCACCTCAGAGAAAATGACACATAGAATATTCACGTGAAGCACTGAATGGCAGGAGCAGATTAGCATCTTTAATCGTCACAGCCTCTCCCTTCTGCTTCTGCATTTTTTGTAGCAGGTTCTGGAACGGCATCTGCTGTTGTCCACTTAAGGACAATGACTGTAAATAGCAGCTGTGAGTCATATCTGACTGAGATTAGCAGCAGGCGTATACCATACAGATAACCGAAAGCAGTTGGAATGAAGGCAACTTGACTTCTTTGGTTTCTTGAATATACCTCGCTTCTCATCCGAGGAGTTTTGTCATTTCTGACTGGAAAATGTGGGGGTCAAGCTTATAAACTATAGCTGTCTATTGTTGCTTAACAAGCAGAAACTACCTATGAATGCCCTAGCCCCTGATGAGTCGTTGGCTCTATTATGTGGGAGTGGTTGTTTTGATTAGATGCAGGAGGGTGTAACCTAAACTGAATCTGTTTTGGAATTAGTGCATTGTAGGTGAAATAAGCATATTCCAGTCAGAGTCGACAAAGCTCCTCGGGTGAGAAGCAAAACGTCTTCAAATTCGAACCCCTTTGTTACCATGACCTGGATGACTGAGAACCTTCATACATCCAAATGACACTAAAAATTAATCTGGGGGGCATGTGTGTAACCACACACCATGCTCTCGTTATTAGGTACAACGGTTCAGTTTCTCGCTAACATAAATGTATCTAGGCTTGATGAAGATGATCAACTGAAGCTCAAACTGAGAATGAGAGAAAAAAAAATAGATTTCAGAGGTGACATAGTAGTTAGTAACAGATGGGCTGGTCAGAGTATTTCAGGAAACTACCTTCTTGTCCCACTCTGAACCCCGTAGTTCTACCTGAGCTTGGGTTAAGCTGGGCGGACACTGTGCGACTTTTTCACTCGTAGCACTCAGCTTCAGCTCAAACTGTACGACTTCCTCGCAGGGCAGATCTCACGAGTCATGCGCTCACACTGCACGACCCAGTTCTCGGATGCGACCTGACTGCTCACACTGTACGTCTGGTAGCAACACGTCGGCCCTAAAAATATGCTAAAAATAGCAGTTTTTACTCAACACGTCAGGCTTTTTTGTCTTGTTTCACCTGTTGTGCTTCGGGAGTGCTGCAGGAGGACACAGGGATTTATGGGGGTTGCATGAGGAAAACGAAATAAAGAAAGTAAATCTGTGTTTTGTGATCAGTTTAATTTGACATGAACACGACAAACACGCTTTCTTGACAATCTTTGTGAGTAAAAAAAAGACGTGTCGAAATAAAAACGAACAACATGTGTTATTAGGGAAATAGCGGGTGAGCGGTGTTGATGCAGGATTGCGCATGCGCCGTGAGCGGTTCTGATACATTTTGGGTCGCAGCTGCTCGCAGCGCCGCTTCAACAGTGCGATACCCTCACGAGGGACGAGCGAAACATTAAACACGCCAGAAGTCCGTGCGAGCTCACGATTGCTGATCGGTAGCTGGTCACGTGGTGTTAATCGCCTCTCGTAACCCCCTGTACACTACACGACGCTCGGCGCAAAACTCGCCCTGATCTCGTGGATTCTCTACACGAGTGGAAAATCGGCTCAAAAAAGTGAAAAAGTCGCACAGTGTACGCCCGGCTTTACACATAACAGCCTTGTTGCTGAACATGTCCCTTTGTGACCACATGGACCCATCTTCTGATGCTACATCCAGCCAGATCATGCACCATGTCACAAAGTTCAGATAATCTCTAAACCAGTCCAAACCCACATCATGGAACCACATGTGCTGTGTGATGCTATCACGGACATGTTTCCAACACTTTGTTGACTCTATGCCACAGTTTAGGCAAAACAAAGTCTGCTCTTGTACTGATGTATACCCAATAAAGTAGCTGGTGATTAAATATGCATACACCTGAATTCTTGCATCTCTTCAAAGAAGTCACAGAGAGTTAGCGAGAAAGTCAGTCCAAAGGGAGCACGCTGTTTTAATGCAATGTCCTGTCTGCCACTATTTAATTTGCCACTTTGAAAAGAAGTGAGGTGGAAAAAAGAGCTATCTTCTGTCAGAAAAATCAGACAAAAGCCTTTAACATCAGACATCAGAAGGTGAGGCCATCTAGAGTGATTGGATGAAACTCAATGACAGCCGAAGCCTTGATGAAAGTGTCAGCAAACTGAAAGATAATTTGTAGAGACGGACAACCACAGGAAACATTTTGTCATTTTTCTGAAAGTCTACCATTAAATGTCCCTGCTTTAATAATCAAGGGCATGTAAGAAGGACTGTCAGTGAAGGTTAGGAAAGACAAGTAAAATTGCCAGTTTTATTCCAGTGCATGAAAGAAGGGAGGTTTGCACAGCACATGGTTTTGGCTTTTTTTTTTCTCCTCTTTTAATCTTCCTTCTTCAAACCATGCAACACAAAGAAGCACAAGGGAAAGTGCATTTTTCCCAAGCGGGATATCTTGTGGGTACACACTTTTTTACGTGATGCTGCGTTCTTATTTTATGTAAATAAAAGTCTGGGAGCAGAGCAAGGCAGGGGCATATCTGTCAACTCTGACTATTAACCTCAGTGACGAGCACAGGCTGGCTGCTTTTATCTAAATTGAAAAACAGAGTTATTTGAATATCATGGGGAGAATGCAATATACTGTGGCAGGGGGAAATCGGTTGCTTTCCCCATTTTTCTTTGCAGAGATAAGACTGTATTTAGTGGCTTGCTGGCAGAGCTTATGAGAGCAAAGCGTTTCAGGCAAATAATTCCCTCTTTTTCAAACGTCCCCCAGCTCTTTTAATGGAACCCTTTAATGGTGAAAAGACATTTATATCGAGTGATTACTCTTGTGGCGTTGCAGCATTATTACCTGTCGGAAACTGTAAGGCGTCTGTCTCTGTGTATCCATCCCTGCTTGTCATCAAACAACAAGCCGGGATGGATACTTTTACACTAAAGGAATGAGGCGAGTCTTTGTGATACTTCTGTTTTTGTCTTCATAGTTTCAAGGAAATGAAAGTCAAATGTGTTCCATTTAGGTACAAAATACAAGGAATCCTGTAAAAGTTGCATCTTGTGAAAACTTTTTTCTTTTTTTCATAAACTAAACCAGCATTTTTCAGTTATAATAAAAACAATCCAAGCTCATTACGTGAAAATGAACATAAAATATTTATTTCTGGGATATTTGTGTCTCCATAGTGTCAACACAGTAGTGTGTTAGAGTCCATAACGAATGGTGATGTTAGATCCTGAAAGATCTGATCAACAATTTGCCCAAATATCATAAACATCATCAAACGTAACGTAATAGTGGCCTTGTACCCACAAGCTCGTTCCCAACCGGGAGCAATTCTGTCGCGAAATGGGAGTGAAAGCATTCCACACAGCTGATCTCGTGACATCACAACATCACGAGAGAATTGCAACACCACACGTGATTTCAGTCGTCCACACACAATTATAAACAAGAAGAAAGACAGCTGCATGCATGAAAAAAATGTCTTTGGGTTATTTTCTGTTTTGTTTACCAGTGGGGTGACCAAGTCACAAGTAAGTCACAAGTCTTTCCAGTCAAGTCTCGAGTCAAGTTCAAGTCGACTCCAAAGTCAATGATGTGGACGTGCAAGTCCTTAACTTTGAATTTTTAAGTCATATTCAAGTCATCTGTCCAACTTCAATTTAAGGGCAATGATAATAAATAAATTCCAGAAATAAAGCTTCTTAAAGCTTCATTTATTTATTCAAACGGCAGAAAGTGCAACTGAAACTGATTATGAACAAAGTGCTGCTGCATTTAGCAGTAAATCAAACCCAGAACCAAGAATGATTTATGATTTTTGCCCATGTCGTGCCACTTTTGTGCTAAAAAATCAAACATGCTCAAGTCATCATCAAGTCAACAGATGCAAGTCGCAAGTCATTGGCGTTCAAGTCCGAGTCAAGTCGTAAGTCTTTATAGATTTTATTAAGTCAAGTCAGAAGTCATTCAAATAATTACTTGAGTCTGATTCGAGTCCAAGTCAAGTGACTCGAGTCCACACCTCTGCTTTTTACAGCGGTCACAGAAGTTCATAGGAAATGACGTACTGCATGTGACCTTTATTTCGAAAGTGTCTGGATGTTCTACACTGCTTTTGTGTTTGACTTCCTGTCTAGCTCGTTCTAAACTGCGCAGTTTGACATGTTTTTGAAGTGTAGCGTGTCAAAAATAGACTCAAAACGTAATGATAGCGTGACCTCGCTCCTGGGGTGCGTCCAAAACTTTGCTGCTGGTGGAAAAGAGCTCATCCACTATAACGGCGGCCAACGCTTTGATGTGCAGTGGAAAGAAGGGGTCAGAGAGACGGGATTATGAGTACTTGATGACTTTGTTCTGCTTACGTGACTTTAGTGGATTATATTTTACTCATAGCTAATCAGACATGCTACATGTTAGAATAATGTAGCTAATGCTGCTAACCTGCTACTCAAGTTACTGTAACGAGCTCTGCATACATAGGGAGAATAGGGCAGTAGCATGAACTAAAATGGATTTATGTAAATGATCATGACAAAATTGGTATCATTATATAAGAAAAACAATAAATAAAACATCATGTATTTTGTCATTTGGAAATCTCAAAAAATGTATGAGTCAAAATTGAATCCAGAGTCAAAAAAGTGCATCTTTGTACCCGTTTGGACCATGCATTATTTAGACCTTACCCTGATTTTACTTGACTCTAGTTTTTTTTTTTCCTAGGGGGTTTTCCGGGTTCAGAAACTTGTAAAATAGTTAAAACCCTTAAGTTAAAAGTCAATTACAACAACATTGCAATTTCACTGTTAATAATTCTTCCTGTAATTTCTCTGCCATGTCGCTCACATCTAATATCCAAGGAAGTTGGAGGTGAAGTTCTAACTTAAATATGTTCCAAAATAAAATAAAAACGAAAGATAAACTTCCTGGTTAGGCCTGGTTTATGTCACAATCATCTACTCAAGAACTTGTGTGTAAGGAGACATATCTAAAAAATCTGGAAAACAACTAAAACATTCCGGATAGTGGCACTTGAGGACCAGGAATGCCTACCCCTAACCAAACAATACTGACTAACACGGTTCTAACTTTGGCAGACTGTACATATGTAAGCTTGACTTTTGTAAATGAATGAAACACTCACGTGTGTTGCTCTCCTCTTTTGCTGCAGCACCAGACTTATCGTATGATTTATCAATCGCTGCTCGGAAGCTCTCGTTGCAGCAGCGGCCTCTGACGATCCGTGAGTGCAGCCTCTGGACGGTGATCTTATCACTCACATTAGACTCAGAGATGGCTGTCTGAAGGCTTTCAAGGGAGCTGGACTTTTTCAGGCCCAGTGAGGGTCCCACAACTTCCTCTGCAGAACCTATGCAGAAAGAGAAGAGTGTCTGTTTGTACAGGAAGCGTTGATAAGCAGGGAAACCTCTAAAACGTGCTGGGTAGCAGCTCTCCAGGAACAGGGTTTCCTACTGGTGCTAAAACAAAGTGCAAATAAATGAGCGATTCTTGTAAAGACACCAAGGTACATCCAGTGTTAGGCCCTGTCCACACGTAGCCGGGGATCTGCCAAAACGTAGATATTTTTCTACGTTTTGGCCTGTCATCCACATGAAAACTGAGTTTTTTCACACGAAAATGGATCTTTTTAAAAACTCCGGCCAAAGTGAAGATCTGCGTTTTCTCCGTTTTGGGTGTCTGCGTGTGGACAGACAGAACCGGAGTTTTAAGGTCCGCAACGTCACTTTCCGCAACAAAAAAATGCTGACATCACGTGTGCGACCTGTGTTTACACTAGCCAACAGCATGGATGCCCTCAGAGCTGCGCTCACTTTATCAATTGTCCAAGCGCTTTCTGCTTGTTTGTTTTTGCAAGCGGAATTACTGCTCCTTGCAGAAGACCACAGACGAAGGACGAGGTTAAGAACGGGGGAAGTACTGCCGCCTACAGGTCTGGCATGTCCTTAACAACGTATTTATCCGGGTACGTGTGGACAGAGCTTGTTTTTAAAATGCAGTGGTGTGGATGCAAGTTTTTGGAGGGGCGGACATTCGTTTAAAAAAAAAGGCTACGTGTGGACTAGGCCTTAGACTAAAAAGCTTAGCAATGCAGAGCTAAACCAAAAGCTTTCTCCTTGAAGCTGGTTTCTAAAGCCTGAGTCATGCTTCTGCGTCTGCGTCAGTGTGCAGACACGCAACGCCATTATCCATCTTTGCGAGCCTGCTGGAGAGCCCTCGCAAGGACGGATGGAGTCGAGCTCTCTGGCCTGAGTCATGCTTCTCCGTCAGCTCCAAAAGGGAGAGACGCACGCACGGACGGAGACATTTTGCCCTCATACCTCTCCATCTCCTGGGGAGTGTTGCAAAGCAATTCCCTGCCAGGACAACAGAGGGCGTAGCACTGTTCCGTCTGCACTGATGGACGGGCGTTTAGAAAAGAGAGCTCGACTCCGTCCGCCCGTGCGAGGGCTCTCCAGCAGGCCCGCGAGGATGGATAATGGTATTGCGTGTCTCCGCACTGACGCAGACGCAGAAGCATGACTCAGGCTTCTTTTCTAAACATCCGTCTGTCAAGACGGAGAACGCAAGCTTGTGATTGGTCAGGGCATCGCTGTCGTCTATGCCGTCGCCATTGCGTCCTAAAAAACATAAAGAGAGCCGAGAATAACTAGCAGAGAAGATTGAAAAATACCTTGCAAAAAAACTAAAAATTTGAAAGTTTAATTCCCCGTGACTGGAGGAGTGAAAAGCGTTTTATTTGTGGACGGAAATGACAGGAAAAGTGGGTTCAGAGGTGGCGAGCGCATGAAGAGGTGGAGGAGAATGAGACACTAATTTGTCTGTGTGAAAAAGTCTGTTATATACAAAAAAACACAATATAAGCACACTATCTTGGACCGGATACATGACAGGATACTACAGAACAGCGCTACGCCCTCTGTTGTCCTGCTGGGGAGTTACTTTGCAACATTCCCCAGGAGACGGAGAAGTATGAGGGCAAAAGCCTCCGTCCGTGTGTGTCTCTCCCTTGTGGAGCTGACGGTGAAGCATGACTCAGGCTTAACACAGCAGAGTGAGACCTCATCATCCCTCTCAGCCTTTTTAACCTTGTTACACAGTCCTCCTGTTGGTTTCACTTCAGTTGTCTATGTGATTCAGGTTGTCGGGATGCTCTCAGTGGTTCTTCAGCAATAACTGTTAAAGAGGAGAGAACTTTCACTTGTTTGAGGTTAGTATTTCACTGAGCTGTGACTGTTTTTATCAGTCAAGGAATGTTAAGGAGTTTCCAAAACATCGTACCATGTTTGCAATGTGTCACAGGGCCTTGAACTTGTGTTGCTGAAACTTTGAACATGTTCATAAAGACTGCATTTTTAAAAAGTCATTGGAACCCATGCGGAGCCCTTCTAAGGAGACTCAGTGGGTTGGAAAGTGTAATAATTTTAACATATTTGGGAGGGGAAGACCTAGGACCAGATGAGACCCTCAGCCAAAGGTTTGGTGCTTCTCACTACCACCATTAAGAAGGCATTAACTGCCCCTGAATGTGCCTGCCTGTGGCTTCTTTCAGGTTATGTGACAGGATACAAACTTTGGTAAATAGCATTCCATTTTGTTGGGAATCTATCAGCCATCTGGAGCTCCTGCCTTTCCCAAAAGTTGCTAAACAAGCAGCTTGGTTGATTTTCTGTTCCTCCATTGAGCTGTGACTTAAGACCCAGCAGCCACTGTTTCAATATGAATCTGTGCTAAATGTGTAATATCTGCACAGGAAACTGTTGATAACAATGAACATACTGTATATGGACCCTCCAAGGTTCTACAATGTTTACTATTCTCTACAAACTATGTAACCTCAGCAGGTTCACTGAGCCTGAGATCAGTGGACTCAGTGTTCTCCTTTAAAAAGCAGCTGAAAACTCACTTGTTCAAAGTGGCTTTTGTGTGACCTTCTTCACCACTCTCTCTTTATTCTGCTCTCCCCACCTATTCCACCTTCCTCAGGATCTACCGCTTTCCCTCTTTCCTGTTCACTCTCTCTCTTTCTTAACATTTTTAAATCACAATTGCCTATTTTTGGCTAATTTAAAATATATTGTAACCATTTTCTAAATTCTTTTTTACATTTTCTGTTTTTGTGAAGCACCTCATGATTTTTATCTTGAGATGTGCTAAAGGAATTATATCTTCTTCTTCTTCTTCTTCTTCTTCTTCTTCTTCTTCTTCTTCTTCTTCTTCTTCAAGTTAGTTTTGTTGTTTTAACTAAATCCATTTGTAAAAGCTTTTTGACTCAATCACACATGAAAACACTTTGAAGGTCTCAACCAGGGAATCATCAACCAGACCACACAGCTGTACAAAAGAAATAGGATCTACGTCATGTTTAAGGTGGTCTAAATGATGCGTGTCCCACTGCTGCCAGTGATCACCACTGAACTTTGAACAAAAAGAAAAACAAACCTGCTAACTGATGGAAAACACTTTGCTTTATGGGGAAACCAGACCCTCACTGAGCATTCCTGAGTCCTAGAAGATGGGTTGAAGACTATGTGAAGTGACTAAAAATGGAAAATGATCAGCGAACCCCATAGATACACATTTTCTGTTGTGTCTCATTTGTAAGCTGAAGTCCTTTGTTTCTCCTACCTGATCATTGAACCAGCTAAACTTGTGACCTCTCACTAGTGATTAACCAGTTTTCACCAGCACGTTCCAGATGTTTGTCCTTTGTTCTGCTCTGTTTGTTTCTAGCACACCCTCACTGGGAGTTTGTTTCACACAAACAAGTCATGAATAGATCTTTTGTCAGACAAGTCAATTAAGCAAAAAGTCAGCTGTTAGCCACTGGCTTTCCAGAGGAGTAAACATTTTAACTGTGTACAGTGTTAACAAACCCTTGAAAATGAAGTCTCTCTGTCTCAAGATCGATTCTGAAAAGGCCATCCGGTATAGAAAACCACCCATTCTGTTATGATTCCTATTCAGGTTAGATGTTTGCACCTTCAAGCTGCATCTGACAATACAATAATACTTCCTGGAAAGGTCAGGTGTTCTCCAGATGCACGGTTAGGATGCGTGTTTATTTGCTGCGTTTACCAGAAGTGGGCATTTTTGATGATTGCTTCAACAAATGTCAACACCAAGAGGGCAAAAATAAAAGTAGAGGAGCACTGATAACAGGGTATTCTAAAATAAAAGTGTAGATGTGGCTAAAACTAAACAGAAGCTTCATACAAACAGAATCAAATATGAAAATAAAGTTACAGTATACAAATTCCATTGTGCGTGCGTGCATGCATGCGTGTGTGTGTGTGTGTGGGGGGGGGGTTGCATCTGCTTGGGATGGGACTGAGGGTGGGAGGAGGGAGACACAAAGGGGATCTCTTATGTGAATCTGTGTGGGAGGGGTGGGAAACCAACTGCTATCTGGTTGTTTTTAATATTGTTAAGTGCGTTGAGCTGCATTTGCATGAAAAGCGCTTCATAAATACATTTTCATTTGATTTGATTTAGAAGAATTTTTAAAGGTGTGGGACACTTGTTAAATGTATACATCTGCAGTGGTCTCTAGTAGGAATTAATACCTTGCAAGTTGTGTCTATAGGGAAACATATACTGGTGCACCACTTCCAGGAATTAGATGTGAGCCACATCACAGCAGAGCTTCAGATGCCAGTTTTTTGGAGCCTTATTTCCTTATATTTGAACATCTCACCTCTGATTGGATAACAGCAACACGACTACCACTGACTGTTTGCTTTGCAACGCTGATGTTTTATCTCCACAAATAACACACGGCTGAAGGAGTTTTGCCGTGTGGTGAAGTTGCTGATGCTAATGGTTAGCATCTACTAATCGTTACGCTCTCTTATGTTTCCTAGACGTTAAACCAACAACAGCGTTCCCTGTCGTGAGTCCAGATGAGTGAGTCCATAAATGTTAAGTGACAGTGTGACGTAGATCTGTCAGGTCTTTCAAATCCTAGAGTTTCACCGTCTATTTTCTATCAGAAGCTAATGCAGGAGATAGGTGCAGAAGACTTTTGTCTTGTAAATGGTAAATGGTCTGTATTTGTTATAGCGCCTTCTAGAGTCCTGGAACCCCCCCAAGGCACTTTACAACACAACCAGTCATTCACCCATTCACACACACATTCACACACTGGTGGGGATGAGCTACGATGTAGCCACAGCTGCCCTGAGACACACTGACAGAGGCGAGGCTGCAGAGCACTGGCGCCACCGGTCCCTCCGACCACCACCGGCAGGCAAAGTGGGTTAAGTGTCTAGCCCAAGGACACAACGACAGCGACAGACTGAGCGGGGCTCGAACCTGCAACCTTCCGATTACGGAGCGAGCACTTAACTCCTGTGCTACCGTCGCACACATGCGACTGGTTACAATCAGGAATGATAATTTAAAAATGAATTTTCAGTGAACCACACAGTGGATCAAAGAGGGCCAGGATAATCCTCCACAGTTTTATCACTACTGAGCCCCAGCCCTTTACACCAGGTTACCAAACTTCCAGCCACCTTCCTGTACATTAAAAATACATCTAGGTAAACTTGTACTTTAAAAGCAACTGTTTCAACTGCCAAGAGCGAACACATAAACCAGGGATCTTGTCCACCACAATAGGAGTTCCAGAGCATTCAACAGTTCAAGAAAACCCAAATGACATATGGTGTACTTGTACAGGGAATTATCCTGCTGCTTGGTATTCTGCCCTACAATCCCACTCATCATTGTTTCAAGTCAGAACGGTGGACGGCTGAGGAAAGCAAAGGCACAAAGAGAATGGTTGAGTGAAGCAAACAGGGAGAGTTTACACATAGACCCAAATGCCTCAAACCTGCCTTTGTTTTCTTCAGAGGCAGCCTCAACCCTCCTGGGAGGCTTTGACGGACAGCTCTCTGTATACCAGTCTATTACGTGATTCCTATCACACAACACAAACCCCCAGCGCTCCTCTCTTCATCTCTTTCTTATTCAGACGACGGAAAATGCATATTCCCCTTTTGCATACAGCCAGGAGTTTGCCACTCCCAACACGTCTGGAGGAGAAATTAAAACCATCAAAATGGAATGAAGAAAAAAAAAACGACAATCAGAGCAAACAGAAGGGAAGTGCACCTTGAAATTCATCGTGGTTACCAACAATATTAGCCAGCACGGAGTGCCGCTCATCCAGTTTAAGGACAAGGACACATAACGGGAGGCGAGCCACAGCCATTAGGCATCACTGAGGAGATATGGCAAACTCCATGAATAAATAAGGAGCAGTTATTAGAGACATGAGTTGGTAGTATAATTAGAGCAGCTAAAATGATGCGTACTAGCCATTACTCACTACAGGTCCTTGCATGTAAAGATCTGTGTACGGACAGGCTCTCCATTACACATAATTTATTCAAGGTTCGGAGTTTTAAGCTGGGTGCTAAAAGGGTAATTGTGTTAAAAATAACCTCAGAGGTGGTCGTAAGAAGGGCACATGCAGGTATGGCGATGGAAGGGAAGCTTCCGGGGTCAGTTGTGCAATTATGTTCCTGCTAGCAGTGGATCATGATCCAGACAGAGGATGTCCTCCGGAGGCTGAGCGTGCCCAAAAACGTATTTTCTTTTGAACAGAACTAATGGTTACTGCACTGTTATTAAATCCAATAAACTATGAAAATTAGGTTTAATTTAACTTTCTGATCAACAAAGCAACAGCGGGGGTTTAAGAAGGAAAGGAGGTCCGATTGGTTTGTTAATTTATCTTGAAATGCCACAGCCTTGGGAACATAGCACTGTTGTTCTTCTAAATGATCCACTTGAACATCAGATATGTTCATTAGTGCTTCAGATGCAGTTATCAGATCGTTTTGTTATAATTTAATAGGCTGAATGCAACCTAATATGCTCCATTTAGAAGGGAAAAAAACAGCAAAAATTTTCTACTGAGACATCAGCTGGAGAGGCCGTTTGGCAACGGACATCTACCTATTTAAAACACCACACACTTGCCCAGCCCTCTTAAGCCCTCAATACTTCCATGATTTTTGAGGATTTTCTTCACTTTGCACCCTGATTGAGGACAATAGCACGGGATCTCACATTTGTCTCCATTCAGAGTAACAAAACTCTCACTGTGCAATGTAAAAATACTCGTGTAAATATGCAGCAATTACCTGAAAATGCTGTGCTATTTGCATCATGAGAGGTCAAGATTAATGAACGACTAGTGATGACAAAAGAATGGGACGATGTTTCATATTGATGGGCTGTTCTTAGGATGGATGCTGACCTCCAGTGGTCCTCAAGCTGCACCTTATCCCATCTGATGGTGTTAAGGATCACGCATAAACGTGTGTGCATTTAGTGATCTGCCGTGTCATTACATAAAGAAAAAAGAGATGGTGTTGGGATTTGAAGGACAGATATGGTGATGTAAGCAGAAAAGATCTAACACCGTATGTAAGGGCCTGTCCATCATGAGGCTTACAAGGAAGCACGTCTGGAATGTGACAGCGTATTAATCCTGCCAGCTGGGATCCCTCAAATCTCTTCCTTTACTTTTCCTTGTTCCCTCAATCTTGCTTCACATTTAAAAGGAATTCAGCTGCAGAGAAGTTTAGCATGTTTCAATAATGACAGGCACATCAAACATGATAAAAATGACAGATAAATAAATAAATAAATGTGAACATGGAAACAAAGTAGCGCGGTTATAGGGTTACGCTATTTCAGATTTAAACCACAGGATGGAAAGCTGCTTTGAATGATTTCTAATTACACACTCATAAACAGATGAATCTTAATATTTCTACAAATAACTGGAGATCAATAATTCTAGTAATGCAATGAGACTGGCAGCGTTTATGAGCAGATGGAACACTTTCCTACGCAGCATCTGAAACCAGTCTGATCCACACATAAAGGCGTATTCCACTTTGAAACAATTAAGAAGCTTTTTTGATGAAATGCTTGATAAAGCATGCATTTACACCAAACAGTCACGAAGTCATCTCAACTTCCTGTTTGTTTCACTCTCTTCCTGTTCTCAGCTACAGCCAGCTCTGTTTGCAGCAAAAATATGAAATACAAACCGTTGTTATGCAAAACAAAATGAAACCCAATGCTCTAGCTTTGGGTAAGTGCAGGCCTAAAATGATATGGGTGAGATTCTGAAAGAGGAAATGTATTAAGCATCTAAAGTACTAGCATTAGCATCGCATGCTTGTTGCAATTAAAAATTTGGTCTCATTAAATGCATTCTTCACTGGTATCTTATTGATGTGGGGCCACTCAGCCCCCAGTCTGTGATGTTGACCTACTCTATGGACTGACTTTAGCATTACTGCAATATAACCCAACTCTGAGGTGAAAGAAAGACGTCTCCCATCCAAGTGGGATCAAGGTGACCCTAACCAACACAAATGCTGTGAGCAATGTGCTTAAAATCTCTAAGGTAGTTTTACTCATCTTATATTAAAACAAAATACTTCCCTTCAACATAAATAGGAAAATGTGTTTCACCTTCCTAGTTTGAATATTTTCATTAAACATCTTTTATCTTTTAAAATGTATATTTACAAGTATGGCGAAGAATGTTTGTGAATGTCAGGAAAGGACCGCCCTCTCTGAATTAAAAAAATAAATAAATAAAAATGCGCATGAGAGAGAACGCTATCCTCGTGCACGCTCTGTTTTCAAGTAGCTGCCGGCCTTGCAGCTAGTATCGAGCAGTAATCTGAAACCAATTTCTCCAAATAGAATGATGAACTTTAGATCACCCGTCGAGCAGAAATCCGGCAACAGAGGCATCTGTGGGGAGCCCAACCTTCGCTTTGTGCATGCGCAGGACGTGAAAACTACCCAGCAACAAGCACGCACGACGACGGCCTCGTGTGAATGGTTCACCAGAAAGATTGACAGGTATGCGTACCAATGGTTTATATGATCCACCCGGAAGAAAAAGATCCTCAGCTTTTCCTTTAGGGTAATAATATTTTATACCTTAAACACTTTTTATTTAATTCTATTCAATTTCCCTCCATCTCTCTTACAACCTTTCAGTCCTTCAGAGATTTTCCCTAATTTAAATTATATTGTATGTATGCAATGATTGCTTGTTGCATTTCTTTTATATTAGTTTACATATTTTTTGTAAAATGTGTTAAATTTCAATACAAGTCCACCATCCTTTAACGTCACACTTATTTTCTGTTTTTGCAAATCAGAGCGGCTACACGGGGTGGAGTGTGTTATTCAAGGACACTTTAAATGTGATGGAGACACCTGAATCAAATCATCAGCCTTTAGATTGGCAGGGGATCACTCTTCCCTCTTAGTTACAGTCACTGTTGGTTTTCATAACATTTGTGTATGATTGCTCTGCAGTCTGCAAGATTTTGACAAGGCAAGCACAATGCTGAGAATGTGTATTAGTAGATGGTTCATCGTGAAGGACTCTGTTCAGTTTGGAGATATTGAATGGGACAATACTGGTTGAAACATGGTTAAAACGTACCTAGATCCATGCTCTTGGATTTGCGATTTTTGATGATATCCAGCTGAGCAGCATTGTCGTACTGCTTGACGCGTTTTTCGGATACACTCTGGCGGCCGAAGCCTTCCCTCTGGAACGAAATGTCAGGGTCCGCATCCGGGCTCAGAGAGCTAATAGAGACAAGCAGAAAATAAAACAGATTATTTATCGCTGTACTGTAACCACAAAGGGATCACTTTTACAGCAAGAATACATAGTTACATTCAGATTCATTGGCCACCAACACCAAGTCAGACAAGTGGATGGGGTCATGGTCGAAAACTAAAATTGACCAAATCATATTCACACAACCACAAACCTCATCATTTACTTTCAGATAACGACCATCGACTTTCAATACTCACACACACACACACACAGACACACACACACACACACACACACACACACACACACACACACACACACACACACACACACACACACACACATACACACGCACGCACACACACACACACACACACACACACACTTGTGCACGCAGGCACACCACTTCAATCTTTCATTTCAATGTCTGTTCTAATCAAGGACACCTCCACCTCTGCAGAATACTCTATAATTAGGAAGATGGGCTCTGGCCTAGATGTGTGACACCCCAGCGAGGTGAGAGTGCTCCAGGGTCATGGCCACTCAATTCTCATTCAGCTCCCCCCAAACACCATATGTCTGGAGCAATACAAAGCACAACCCACTTTAGTGCACTCCTTTTAAGATCATCTATATCTCTGTCTGGATCTTAATTAAAAAAAATCTGAGGAAAATGTGGAAAAGGAGGATGGGATGGCGGAGCGTTATTTGCAAATGCACTCGAACAAATGTTACATGCATGAAATGATTGTCCCTGTGTCTATTATACTATTCATGGCTGTACGTTATCTCAACTAAAATCACACCAGAAAGGTTATTGAATTGTCTTTTTTTATGGAAATGTAAATATTCATCAGAAAAGGTAACCCTTGGAGCAGAGGTTCATTCAAGCAGCCTTCCGTAGAACCAGCTCCATTTAAAAAGAACTGTTGGCACTTGTTTGCATGCAAACAATTCTTATTTATCATGTCAGCCCTATTTAACAAAGTAGCTGCTTCACGTGTCACAGAGGGGCTGACGTCAAACTGTCAGTTTGCCGTCGACCATACCTGACAATCCTAACTAAGATCAGAGTGCCTCACAGGACCAACTCCAGATGACACAGGAAGAATGAGGCGGAGCGGGAAGAGAGAAATGACAGCACAGATGTATTATTCATCATCCTCTTGCTCTTTTTTCCCCTCCTTGCTTGCTTGCCCTCTACTCTTCTACCTCTGCAAATGCCATTTGTCAGAGCATGACTGAGCTGGCGCAGGCTAGAAAGGATGTGTTTTCACCCTGAATTTAGATTTAATTCCTTCTTGCTAGTGTTGTATTTCTCGGTTACATGAACAGACATAGCGAGGAAGTGGGCGAGCCAGCAAGGGGGAGCATGCACAGCTCTGTGACACAGGTATTGGAGATATACAGCATCTGTTTGAGAGAGCAATTAGGCTCACAAGTGCTAAGCATCCAGTTTGTCTTTTAACTACACTGGTGCTAAATGTGCAGGTTCAGAAGGACAGCCCTGCAGAGGTGTCAATTCACTTAGTGGGAATTCAGATTAAATTACAGTCCCACCCATTTTAGCACAGCCTTTGCTTTAGCGCCATACATGCAGAGCAATCACTCAAGGCCCAGCATGTGAATCTGGAATAAATGGAAGATGAAAACAGCTGTTTTGGCCAGAGAACGGAGCCAAGCCAGAAGATCCTGTCACTTTTGATTAAGTCACAGTGCTGCACCCTTCTTTGTTTGATTTTTATCTTTTAGGGCTGAATAAGGTAACATGTTGCCTTGGATTGCAAAGGCAGCGTGTGAACAACGCAAGGCTCAGTGTCTCTCCAGAATCTGCTATTTAGCGTTTTTTTAATCTACTTTTAAACAGAATATTCATCCAGAATTGCTGTGCGTCACTGACCTACAGCAGACAAGAGCTTCTGGACATCTGGACCCATCAGTTTTATCGCCGATCTCCGACTCATCCCAGAGATCTCCAGAACACCGGAGGCTGCCCACTCTCCCCGGCCGGGCGGAAGTGCACGCAGACGGCGCCGAGAACGTAAACAAAGGCAAGGTAGGCACGGAGGGATACGGGCTAAGCTAAAGCTAACACCACACGGCTGCCTTTACCCAGTATTTTCCTCGCCAATGTCTGTTCTCTGGCAAACAAAATGGATGAGGTATGGCTCTCCATCACTAACAACAGATGGACAATGGACTCAAATGTCATATGTTTTACCGAAACATGGTTGGTTGAACAACAGCTACCCGGATAATGCTATTGAGTTAGCAGGACGATACACACACCGAGCCAACAGGCTAGCAGACGACTCCGGCAAGACCAGAGGTGGAGGTTTGTGCATTTATATTAACAATGCTTGGTGCATGAACTCCACTACTACTGAGAGCCACTGCTCACCTAATGCGGACACTAATGCTAAGGCCATGAAAGAACTTTCTGCAGCCATTAACAAACACCAGAATAAACACCCCGAGGCTGCTTTTATTGTTGCTGGCGACTTCAACCACACCAACTTAAAGACAGTCCTCCCCATATTCCACCAACATGTCTCCTGTCACACCAGAGGAGACAACACTTTAGACCATATTTATTCCAACCTGGCTGGAGCCTACAAAGAAACACCCCTCCTCACATTGGACAATCGGACCATCTTTCCCTGTTCCTCACACCTCGGTATTCACCACTCTTCCAATGTGTGAAACCTGCTGTGAGGACAACTAAACTGTGGCCAGAAGGGACAGACACAGTGCTCCAAGACAGATTTAAAAACACAGACTGGAATATGTTCAGCCACACAGACCTGGACCAGTACTGGACTTCATCTCCAAAACAACAGGCAGTATCACCACTCAGAAACGGGTCACCATGCACCCCAACTAGAAGCCTTGGATGAACTGGGATGTACGTCTCCTCCTGAAGGCCCGCATCACCACCTTTAGGTCAGGAGATGCACACACCTACAGTACAGCCAGGGCTAATCTAAAGAAGGGTATCAAAAAAGCCAAACATCATTAGAAAAAGAAGGTTTCAACCAGACGCATGTGGCAAGTACTCCAGACCATTACAGACTACTGGACCACCAAATCCTCTCCCGCATCCTCTGATGTTTCCTTCCTCAACGAGCTCAACAACTTTTATGCGTGTTTTCAGTGAGGGAACCCCACAATCACAACCTCAGCAGCCATGATGCCAGACCCCCAACCTCTGACTCTTTCCCCCACCGATGTAGGAGTGGTGCTGAGCAGGATCAATGTCCACAAGGCTGCAGGTCCTAATGGCATCCCCGGGCGTGTTCTCAGAGCATGTTCTGAGGAGCTTGCAGGAGTGCTGACAGACATATTCAACCTGTCCTTGGCCCACGCTGTGGTACCGGCCTGCTTCAAATCCACCTCCATCGTCCTGATATGCAAAAACTCCAACCCAACTAGCCTCAATGACAACCACTCAGTAGCACTCACCCCCATCATCACAAAGTGATTAGAGCAGCTGGTCCTAGCACACTTCAAATCCTGTCTCCCCTCCACCCTGGACCCCCACCAGTTTGCATACCGCCAGCACAGGAGCACAGAGGGTGCAGTCTCCATCACACTGCACTCTGTTCTCTCACACCTGGACAACAATAACACCTATGCCAGAATGCTGTTTATAGACTTTAGTTCAGCATTCAACACAATCCACCCCTAAAAACTTATCAGGAAACTGATAGGCCTGGGCATCAGTTCCCTCATGTGCAAATGGTAACTGGACTTCCTGACCAACTGCCCCCAACATGTCCGGCTGAATAACCACTGCTCATGTACAATTACAATGAACATCGGTGTACCACAAGGGTGTGTGATGAGCCCTTTCCTCCACTCCCTCTTCACCCACGACTGCAGACCTGCCAGTGGTTCTAACACCATCATTAAGTTTGCAGATGACACCATGGTGATTGGCCTCATCAGGGATAACGATGAGGCCACCTACAGGGGGAGGTGGATCGTCTGGCTGAGCGGTGCAACTCAAAAAACCTGCTGCTTAACACTGAGAAGACCAAGGAGCTCATCGTGGACTACAGGAGGAATGCTGACCCACATCCATCCATCTACATTAAAGCCGGGCGTACACTGTGCGACTTTTTCACTCGCAGCGTTCAGCTTCAGCTCAAACTGTACGACTTCCTCGCAGAGCAGATCTCACGAGTCATGTGCTCACACTGCACGACCCAGTTCTCGCATGCGACCTGACTGCTCACACTGTACGTCTGGTAGCAACACGTCTGCCCTAAAAATATGCTAATAATAGCCTGTTAAACGAAATAAAGAAAGTAAATCTGTGTTTTGTGATCAGTTTAATTTGACATGAACACGACAAACACGCTTTCTTGACAATCTTTGTGAGTAAAAAAACGCGTAGAAACAAAAACGAACAGCGTGTGTTATTAGGGAAATAGCGAGCGGCGTTGATGCAGGATTGCGCATGCGCCGTGAGCGGTTCTGACACATTTTGGGTCGCAGCTGCTCGCAGCGCCGCTTCAACAGTGCGATACCCTCACGAGGGACGAGCGAAATATTAAACACGCCAGAAGTCCGTGCGAGCTCACGACTGCTGATCGGCAGCTGGTCACGTGGTGTTAATCGCCTCTCGTAACCCCCTGTACACTACACGACCACTCGGCGCAAAACTCGCCCCGATCTCGTGGATTCTCGCACGACTGGAAAATCGGCTCAAAAAAGTGAAAAAGTCACACAGTGTACGCCCGGCTTAAGGGGACAGTTGTGGAGCATGTGAGCAGCTTCAAGTTCCGGGGAGTCCACATCTCCAAGGATCTCACCTGGACGACCAACTGCTCCAAGCTGGTCAAGAAGGCTCACCAGCGCCTCTTCTTTTTGAGGAGTCTGAGGAAGAACCACCTGTCCTCAGACATCCTGGTGAATTTCTATCGCTGCACCATCGAGAGCATCCTGATCAACTGTATAACAGTCTGGTATGAGAACTGCTCTGCCTTGGACCGGAAGGCATTGCAGAATGTTGTGAAAA